GAATAGAGAGAGAATCATGTAGTCTCTACTTGATCAGTACTGTAGAACAAAATGATGAATGTTAAAGTGCTCCAATATTCTCTATTTTGGTATACAGGTCAGTTCTCATCACTGTAGGTGTGGAATGGTGTGGGAGAGACCACAAATTTAGTCTAGTCACTCAGTTTATATCACATACCAAAATATATTTCAAAATGTATTTCAGGGGCAAAACATACATTTCCATTTTTTTTTTTTTTTTTGGATGTATGTGAATGTATTTTCTTGGATTTAAATATACAGAGGGCAAAATAAATATTGTATATATGTTTTTATATTTTAAAAACATTATTTTGCCCTCCATATATTGAAAAAATGGCAGTGATATATTGGTACAAAACATATGTAAATATAATTTAATATTTTAGCAAATATATATTTTGTGTAGTTTACAATTAAAGAATATATTTGATTTTTAAATTTCATTTATTTAATTTTTTGCTGAGTGGGAATGAATCATTTAACCACCAAATAGTTCAAACTGTTCAGATGAAAAGTCATCATATCTTACCTCGCACAGCCATTGATACTCTCATCCTAATTTGACAATTCTAATATGATTTGTTTAAAAACCATATTACACGTTATAAACGTATGGTTTTGGCAGTCAGTTTTATATTTTGCCTTTGTTTTGTCCCTGCAGGCCCCCGCAGCTATCTGAGCTCCACCATGACCGAGCGTTTCGACTGCTTCTACTGCAGAGACAACCTGCAGGGCAAGAAGTACGTCAAGAAAGACGACAAGCCAGTGTGCGTGCGCTGCTTCGACAAGCTCTGCGCCAACACCTGCGCCGAGTGTCGCAAACCTATAGGCGCTGATGCAAAGGTGGGGGTGTTGAATGAAGAAAAATCCTTTTAAAGAGCATTTTACATTGTGCAGAGCTCACGGTGCTTTCTATCCAGGAGCTGACCCATAAGAACCGCCACTGGCACGAGGGCTGCTTCCGCTGTGCCAAGTGCTACAAGCCGCTGGTCAATGAGTCTTTTGCTGCCAAGGACGATGGCAAGATCATGTGTGGGAAGTGTGGAGACCGTGACGGATCGCCTCGCTGCCAGGGCTGCTACAAAGTGATTACGCCAGGTGTGTGCACATAAACACCTTTTTTTCCACGCAAAATGTGTTGTAAATGACAGCAAAGTTCTGGTGTTTCTCTGTAGGATCGAAGAATGTGGAGTACAAGCATAAAGTCTGGCATGAAGAGTGTTTCATCTGCTTTGAGTGCAAGCAGCCAATCCGCAGCCAGAGCTTCCTGACCAAGGGTGATGATATGTACTGCACTGCCTGCCATGAGAAGAAGTTTGCCAAGAACTGTGTCCGCTGCAAAGAGGTCAGTTAACAGTATACTGAAGGACTGTACTGTCGAAAGAGTTCATAGATGGAACAGAAACACAACTTCAGTTCTATTACGGTGCAGTACAAATTCAGGCATAATGCACAGTCAGATGGCCATTATTGCAAAATTAATTTTGAAGCAAACTATTATACGGGTACTTGGCAAACAAATTACTTAGAATTTTGGGGTTGGTAAGATTTTAATGCTTTTGAAAAAAGTCTCATGTGCACCAAGGCTGCATTTATTTGATCAAAAATACAGTAAAAAGTGTAATATTGTGAAATATGTTTGCAATTTAAAGGGGTCATATGATGCTTTCTTAAAGATCATTATTTTGTGTATTTGGTGTATCAGAATATGTTGACATGCTTTAATGTTCAAAAAACACATTCTTTTTCAAATACTGTACATTATTGTAGGTCCTCTATGCCCCGCCTCTCTCAAACGCTTCGTTTTCTACAAAGTGCCTCCTTCCGACAAGCGCAGTCTGCTCTGATTGGCCAGCTGACCCAGTGCATTGTGATTGGCCGAACATGAGACTTTAGTCTTTGCAACTTCAGGGCTCTTATCTATGCACGATCAGCTTGTAATACTCCAAAGAGAAAAGAAAACTTGAAATCGCATCATATGACCCCTTTAAAGTAACTGTTTTCTATTTGAATATATTTTAGTGTAATTTAATTCCTGTGATGCATAGCTGAATTTTCAGGATCATCATTCTAGTCTTCAGCATCACATGGTCCTTCAGAAATCATTCATGTATGCCGATTTGCTGAAACATTTCATGTAACAATTTTATCAATGTTGAATTTTTTTAAATCATATTTATATGAAAACCTTGATGCACTTTGTTTTTCAGGAATCTTTGATAAATAAATGTTCTTTTGAACCGTCTATTCGATATCTCCATTAAAAAAAAAAAAAAATCTTTTGAGCAGTTTAATGCGTAAAAAACGCCTCACTGAACAAACTTTCACTATTACAATCTATTACTATTGCTAGTAAATTTCACAAATATTTACAGAGAAACAGCAATCAACATGTTACATTAAACATGATGTTTGAAGTGTTCTTGTAAAAACAAAAATTATTTTTCTATAGCCTAGTATACATGGAACTCTATTTTGCTTTGTAGTAAATGAAGTCAATGCAGAGTTAACTGTTGCTCATCTTGTGTTGGTTGAATGAACGACTCTTGAAACGGCACACAGACAATCAAATTCAGAAGACCAGAACTAACCATTCCTATCAGGCATGTTCTGAAGCATCTGTACTTTTGTCTGATCTGTTCTAATAATCAGGCCATTAGCAGCGGTGGAATCACCTATCAGGACCAGCCCTGGCACTCTGAGTGCTTTGTGTGTAACACGTGCAAGAAACCTCTGGCTGGAGCTCGTTTCACGGCCCATGAAGATCAGTTCTACTGTGTGAACTGCTATAAGGCTGATGTGGCCAAGAAATGCTCTGGATGTCAAAATCCCATTACAGGTATAATCTGCAAATCTGTCCCAGTATTAAATAATTCTTTTTTCCTCACAATTACAGAAAACGTGTAACACTTACTCTACAATACATTAAAGGGTTAGTTCACCCAAAAATGAAAATTCTGTCATTAATTACTCACCCTCATGTCATTCCAAACCTGTAAGACCTTCATTCATCTTCTGAAAACAAATTAAGATACTTTTTTGTCACGTTCAAGGCTCAGAAAGGTAGCAAGGACATTGCTCTGAAGATGAACAAAGTTCTTACGGGTTTGGAACGACACAAGGGTAATTAATGACAGAATTTTCATTTTTGGGTGAACTATCCTTTTGAAGGAATAGAAAGCATCACTAATAATTGCATTTATAATAAAAAAAAATTCCATATTTACCCCTGTTGTCTTTCTGTGTTCCAGGATTTGGCAGAGGGACCAACGTGGTGAACTACGAGGACAAAACCTGGCATGAATACTGCTTTAATTGCAAAAAATGCTCCCTCTCCATGGCCCACAAGCGCTTTGTCATGAACGGAAATGACATCTACTGCCCTGACTGTGCCAAAAAGCTGTGAGGGCCTGATACAGCTGATTAATGAGCAATTAAGATAGAAATGATGAAATGTGTTGAAATCTCGCAACGCTTTGAGTGTTCAAGTTAAGAGAAACCAGTGAGGGTGTTCGCATTGATAAGTCACTGGAAGATTGAGATTATTTTTTATCAAGTTCTTGGAGCAGATAATGAGTGCTATATGAAGGGCTTTTCTTATGCAAAACATATTACTGCAATCATAAAAGCAATCGCTGGATTTACAAACCTAACAATGCATTTTAAGCTTCAGTTGTTGCAAAGCTATGGTGAAACTGTGTGATGTTACAATAGGAATACAACATGCATTTAGTAAACTCATTTTGCTTTGTGGAAAAAATGTTTGATTAGTTTCTGGATAATGCCTTTGAAATGTTTTTATGCAAGTCATTCTGTTAATACAACCGTAAGAATGAAAAGAGACAATAAATGACTCCAAACATTTATCTTCCAAAACTTTATTTTAACAATTTATATTTTCCCCAGTACACTTTAGATATATTTACAAATATAATTTGTGGTCAGGGCTATTTCAAGACAAGAAACTGCTCAAACAAAAGCAGATCCCATTCATGACCCTGTTCAAGGAGATTGATTGTCATGGCCGAGATAAGCTCACATGACACGTTAAGGTATTAATATATGAAAATAAAATACAGTCCATTCAGCATCTAAGGCACAGTCCTATTCTACCCCTGCATTGAGTACTCAACATTAAAGAGCAGTTTTAGTTCTGATGTATAAAGCGCAACTCTAAAGGTCCCATTAGTGGAAACATCTGCATTGGAGTAAACTCGTCTGAAAGTGGCTGTGTTAGTGTCTTACAAAAGCAAACGCAACTAACACACACACACGCCTCAATGATTGGGGCTACACCACAACATGAAGCAATTTTGGAAAGTGTTATGAGTATAAAAGGCCAAAACCGAGGGAATCCCAATGATCGCTGGTCACTTCTAACCTCCGCAAACACTTTTCCACTGGAGTCTAAGAGCCTGAGTCCAAAAGCAAGAAAGTGACTATTATACAACAAAAGATAAAAATCACAGAAAGCGGTTGCATATAAAATAACAGAAGAACATTAAATACATATTGAGGGATCTACAGTATTTCTAAATGTGGATGGAATGATACAAATAAGGAAAATTTACTTGTCAGTTAACCACAAACTCAACTGTTTCTTTAAGCTTTGTGGCCTTTAACTGGTCTGTGAATAACATTTCAAAAGGAAACTCAACATTTTACACAACTACAGTACACAAAGCCAACTGAACTCTTCAAGCATATGGAGACCAATCAGTCTGGACATTTGAATCCGCAGTCAAATGCCAAATCACACTTTCCCTGAATCCTCTAGCTGCAAATGTAAATCGCAATTCTCAACCTCAATGAGAGGCAACATGCTTAATGGATTCTCTGCAAACATCCCTGTTCAAACTCAAAGCAGCTTCACAATCAAATAGCCCTCTTGACTTTGCTTGTAACCCTCAGTTCACATTCTTTTTTCCAACTCACTTCACACTTCAAAAACGCATGCTAGTGCTGTGTACAGTTCGTTACATCTGGCCTGTTAGATTAGCAACAGCTTTTCTTACAGTACAGTGCTGTACCACACTATACAGTACACCAACCTGCTGCCTAGCTCTTATTCCCAACCACAAGTATAGCCAGACATCCTAATACTGATTACATAATACTTAGAAGAGTTTTAAATATATATTTATGCATTTTTAAAGAGAAAACTACATTTATTGTGATTATTTAGGCCATGAATGGATGTGAGAACTAACAGTAACTGTATATACACGAAGAAACATCAGGACCTGATAGTACAGTACAACCCTGAGGGGACTTTGGGCATTGCAGAATATGAAATCATTCAAGTTTAGCCACTGGAACACGTTTCCTCAAACTCCAGGGAACAGAAACATGCAGAAAGTGTGCAAGTAGGAGTTACAGTAATTCTCTGTGTTATGTTATGCAATATAGTAGCAGATAGATTCATGCAGACATATTGAGGGTCACTTAAATTAGATATTTGCTAACTAGTCATATTTATGTACAGGCAGAACAGGATATCAACAATACAGGTATTTACTACAGAACAGGAACGAACATAAAAACCTCATTAAACAAAAGTGTTACATCAGTCTGCATTGAGCCCCATCATCCTTCAGTCTCAGAGCTCAAGGCAGTATGAACATGTTTGCACTCCATTTGAATTAGAATCAGTCTGGTAAACGGTTTTAATGAAACATCTCGAGAGAGATTTGCTATCTACAAGTGTTACACAGTAGGAATGCTTAAGTTGTTGCACGGGATATAGTGTTAAACACTATACAGTGGTGATGTTTATGCCTTTAGAGAGGAGAAACAGAAGCTTAGAGGAAAATATCCTGAGGTCACATTAAAAGCACATCAGAACAGGAGAGTTGCTGCACTAGCAGCCCGTCTAACCTCATGCTTCTACGTTGGATCACATTCCTGAGCTCCGCTCAACAGTTCAGACACAGGGTTTTAATTAGTACGTCTGTGATTGGAACCAATGTCAGCTGAAGATATGTGAGAATTTCCTTTTTCAAAATGCTTCACACTGACTCGACCAACCAGATTATTCAACAAAACGCTAAAGTTGAAGCTATAACGAATTCATATGTGCCACGTGAACACCTGGAATTTAGCAAAAAAGTGCACGTGGTAACCGTCAAGAGACCGTAGCCGTTTAAATGTGAAGAAGCCGCATGAATAAATAAGTTGTCTCCACATTTAAAAGCCAAACAAAACAAAAAAAAAACATTTAAGAAATGTATGGAAAAAAACTAATCCTGATGTCAATATTATAAAGATGTAGAGCTGATAAACGAAGCAAGCACACTGAAGGAATCTATCATTTTCCCTGAAGCATTTCTTTAGCTTGTTACGTCCAACTTGTCTTTATTTTTTCTTGCCTTATCCGTCTATTATCTGCAGAGGCTGTGCGGCACTGTGCGCTTTCCCTGGCTGTCCAGACGAGTCTGAGCGCTGATACTCTGAGGCTCAGCTGGACGTGACTCACGGAGTGCAATAATCAGCAGGCCTTAGACAGACCTGCACATTCACATCTCTGAGAGAACAAGAGAAACATGAGGTCAAATCAATATAAACACCATTCCGAAGACTTCGAGTAAAAAGCCCTTACCAGACAGGGCTTCAATGGGCTGGGCTGGATGAATTGAGCTGGTTTTCTCTTCGAAGGCCACTCTAGGCCCCTCAGGGCTCCCATCGTCCATCAGGGGTTTGCTCTTCGTATGAACACCCAGATCGATCAGCTCTTCGAAGCTCCAGGATCCTCCTTTACCATTCAACTCTTGCACCAGGTTCACTTTAGCGTCCTCGTTCACAAACTCTGAGCCCTCCATCAGACAGGACTTAGGAGGTGGGCTGCTGGAGATTAAAGCACAAATGTAAAAGTTGACATATGCACCACTAGTGTAACCCAGATGAAACTAGAGTAAATGAAGTCATTTTTGTACCTGTCCACTGAGGGATCCTCTGTGCTGGGTCCATTGCTGTACTCTTTGTTGTCCACATCTGTTCGTGTGTTCATACTAATAACTGGCCCGTCTTGCTCTGTGACTGGCTCCTCCACAGATAAGTGACGCTCCTGAGAGTCTGATGGCTCGGTCTTCTTGGCATTCTGCTCTGACTCGACAGCCTCATTCTCTAAATTTGAATGAGACAGATTAATTATTCAGTCCTACATTAGGGATTCACAATATATGGAAATAAAATTGTGACATGTCTTAGTGTGATTATCAAACTGCAAAGGGTGTGATCTAATTAAATAAACATAGGCTCAGAGTGAGGCGCAACACTGTGTTCATTTACACACAAGCAGCTCATGTTCTGGTGTTTTCAATGGCTTCAGTTTGCAGTAAATGCTGCTTTATTCTCTACATGCACTGTGCCACTCATTTCAACAGATTTGTCATGAGAAGCATTTATAAATTGGTTCGGCAAAACAGAAACTTTATAGGATTCCTGGAGCTTTTTGTCAAAATGACAGCTCAATGGTTTCACGGTTTTATTAAATAATAAAAATCACAATAAAAAATATAATTATTATTTTAAAGCCAAATTGAATGAGTCAAGACACACCCAAAGAGTTTTTGCAATATGTATAATATATAATATTGCAATGTCAGTTTTTCCAGTATTGTGCAGCTGTATGTTACATATAGTGAGAGATTATATCTTGTGACTTTCAGCATTGGCTGTCTTTTTGAATTTGCTTAGTACATTTTTTGTAAATACTGTGTAAAGCAGGTGTTCAGTTTCATTTCAGCAATTCTCCTATAACTTGTCACTTGCTTGTCAGTGAACCATCAGTCATCTGCTACATAGAAACTCACTGTTGTTGCCAACAAAATAATATTCTGCCATTTCTGGCATAAACTGACCCTTATTTTCACAGTTTATTTGTTCCTCAGCCTCCTCTCCGTCTTCATCAGGAATGTCTTTCTCATCATTACTCTGAGAGAACACGCAGACACAACATAAGTAACTGCTTGGGAGTTGAAATGATGCATAACAAGTAGATACATCATGCCTCAATTCTATATAACAAGCCATAGGCTATAAAATGAAAGCTGGTAAACTTGCCTTAAAATCGATTTGGTCTGTTTTTCTGGTTCTCTTCATAATTTCTTCAATTCTCTGCAGATGGAGACAGAACACTGAAGCAACTTGTACGATTCTTTAAACTACAGCTGCTACCTTAAATTCAAATTGTGTAAGTGTCAGTGTCATGTGATGGCGTTGCCGTTTACCTTCTTTCTCTCCATGCGCTCCTGTTGGTTCTGTTGCATAATGCGTGCTCTCTCCTGACGCTGCCTCTCTGCTTCCTCTTGGGCCTTTGCTTCAGCCTCCTCGCGCTGCCATTGAATGAGCAAGAAGTCAATTATTCAAACAGAGCAGCTCTATTGGGGTTTCTGTGCAAGGGGACTGTCAACGCACCTCTTTATCTAGCTCAGCCTGTCTTTGCTGCTCCTCCTGCTCCATTCGCTGTCTCTCCTCCTCTGCTATAAGAGCCTGCTCCTCCTCTTCTCTCTTCCTCTCCTCCGCAAGCCTCTTCTCCTCCTCTGCACGCCTCAAGTGCTCCTCCTCCGCCAGCCTCTTCTCCTCCTCTTTCCTCAGCCTGTCGAGACATGATACCTCAGGGCCTCTGGCACTTCAAAAGTAAAGTTTTAACACACCAAGCTGAGGATCACTTCAGCTTTAATGACTGCACAACAAACCTGCTCTTACAAACAAGAAAAACAAGAATACGACTACAAACTAATGCCAGTGTTTTTGTTCTGATTCTTCTGAGTAATTGTAGGTTTAAGATCATAATACTTATATATTATTTGGCTAGTATATTCGGAAGTAGTCAAAGAAGAATCGTGTGCATAGTAAAGTGTCAAAGCAGGTTCCTGACACTGAAACACAACACTGAAGCTTATCAAATAAACACACCTCTCCTCTTCTTCTTTCTGTATGCGGAGTTGCTCTTCTTTCTCTTTCTGCTCGCGTGCTAGACGTCGGTTTTCCGCCAGGATCTTAGAAGCCTCTGCAGCCGAGTTATTTCCTGCGACAGCTTTGGAACTGGATTCTGTAAACACATATACATTACGCATATTAATATTATCTTTGCAATTATTTATAGTTAATGAATTACTTTCTTCTATAATAATAAACAATAGAATGCATTGACAGGGAAAGTCTCTTTCACAAAGTAAAATTATAATAGATTTATGTTTCCAGCAGAGGGCACTGGGTCTCAAGGATAACCCTGCACACTGTATACAAACTCGGTAACCCCAGCAGCATCTGACCTTGTTAGTAGGTACCTAAAGGCATTCATTACACAAAAGGTGCTGGTTTGCTGCTGTAATAACTCAAAGGCTTTGTTTTGGCCAGACATTTGGCAAGGCAGGAAGCAGTAAAAAGCTGAATCATTTTCAAAGCTTATTTCCTATTAAACATTAGATGAAAGAAATGACCTTCTTCATCATCGTGACTGCAGCACTTGGCAGAGGATCTTATATGTGCTGTAAGGTACATTAAGGGGAGTCTGAAACGCAGTACTGTACTGAAACCCATCATGCTTCATCTTCAACAATTTCTGATTAACTTCACACTTTAAATTTATCATTAAAATTTTTCCCATTGATCCTGAGAGAAATGTCAATTAAACTACAAAATTAAATTCTAGTTAGAATTTAAAATCAACAATTGGGTGCAACAGTTAGGTTCTAGAAGTATAAAAACACCATTCATTTTCTTCACAGGGGAATTCATTTTAACAATAACTTAACGTGAGCTATGATGTTGTTAATCAATGGTACAGGCTTTCATTAAAGTGGTCATATGATGTTGCTAAAAAGAACATTATTTTGTGTATTTGGTGTAATGAAATGTGTTTATGCGGTTTAAGGTTAAAAAAACACATTATTTTCCACATACTGTACATAATTTTTTCTCCTCTATGCCAAACAGCGTAGAGGCCAGAGGCCTAGAGTGAGCAGAGGCCGGCTTGAGTGAGCGGCGGCGGCGGGCGGGCTTGCGGCAACCACATGGACTCCGCTTCGTCCACGGTGAAAGCCGATCCGGCGATCCACAGCGTGAAGTTGATGTATTTCCTCAGCGACCAGCACGGATCAGCTCTAGGCATGACGAAGCGGATATCGTCCTCTTTTGGAAGGCCAAACAAAGTAGATTCGCTTTCACAACGAAACACACAGCGCCTTCACGACATGGCGGCGGCGGCAACAACAATACTACAGCGAGAATAAAAGTTACGCCTTCTTTCTTTGCGTGAACATTTGGGCGGCGTTATGCAAATCTTCCCACATAGTGAGGTAGATATGTGGGGGCGTGTTCGAACGAGCCGTTTTAGGTAGGCGTGGTTGACTCTTAACTTTTACAAAGAATATCTCTTTGGATTTGAGACTTTAGTCTTTGCAACTTTACAGATCTTCTTTATGCACCAAGAGCTTGTAACACTTCAAACAGAAAGTAAAAATTTAAATCGCATCATATGACACCTTTAAAGCTATTATTATTGTAATATATTATTGTAACCTTTTTTTGTTTTCTTTTTTTTTTTTATAATTCCGTTTAACAGTGAAATTCCTGGTGAAAAACTACATTTCCCATGATTCTGTAAAGAAATTTCCACCAATCATGGAACTGAAATAAGCAAATTGTGTTAAAAGAACTCAGGAGTGCCTGCCCTTTTTATGAAGCACTGAGAATGACTTCCTACACTCTCAAACTACTTAAAAGGGTTAGTTCACCCAAAAATGAAAATTAGGCTGCGTATTACTAACCCCCGAGGCATCCTAGGTGTAAATGACTTTCTTCTTTCAGACGAATCCAGTCGGAGTTATATTAAAAATTGTCTTTGATCTTTCAAGCTCTATCATTGCAGTCAGCGGGTGTTGCATTGCTTCAGTCCAAAAGAAGTTAAATAAAAAGCGCCCATGCATAAAACAAAAAGTGTCACACACGGCTCCGGGGGGGTGAACAAAGGCCTCCAGTAGCGAATCGATGCGTTTTTGTAAGAAAAATATCCATATTCAAAACATAACTGATAGAGCTTGAAAGATCAAGGACAATTTTTTATATAACTCCGACTGGATTAGTCTGAAAGAAGAAAGTCATATACACCTAGGATGCCTCAGGGGTGAGTAAAACGCAGCCTAATTTTCATTTTTGGGTGAACTAACCCTTTAAATATGTGTGTGTCAATTAAAAAAAAATATTGACTATAGAAATGTAAACAATTTTTTAAAGATTGAACTGAAAACTGAAATCGTCAGACATGGAAATTATTTTAAAATTCCCTTGCACTGTCAGGTATTTCATATCACCATCAATATTTTTGTTTATTTGAGTTCACTCACCCTCTTTGGTCTTGGGTGCGGGTGCCGGGCTGGGTGTGCTGGTTTCTGGAGACTGTGGGGTGACAGGAATCATGGGAGACATATCCTTTGGTTTAGAGTCCCTCTTGCGAAGGGTAGGTGGGCCGGTGGGGGTGAGAGCAGGTTTCTGGATGGGTGGAGGTTTGGATGTGGCAGAGGGCTGAGGGGATGGAGGCCGCTGTTTCAAACCACTGGGGGAAGAAGGGCGGAAGTGTGGACTCTGCCTGAAGGACACAAACATAGAAGGGAAGTTAGAAGATGGGCTTACCCACATCCGTACTATAGACAATGGGAGATGCAATTTGAGCGGCAGATTGTAAAGGTCTGAAATCAAACTATCATTTTAGAGTGAAACCACTGCAGGCTAAACCTGATCTCAGGGGTCTTACTTGGCTGCTCCAGGTGAGGGCGCTCTTGTGGTGGTGTTAGCAGCGGGAGAAGGAGACGGGGATCGGTGACGACTGGAGGGCGAGGCAGGGCGTTTTCCTACTGGTGACGTGAAGCGATTCTCAGTCTCACCTTTCTGCTTTTACAAATGCAAAAAAGAAAAAAAATAAGAGAGATCACATCTCATCCACTCTATGAATTAATGAGCAAAACACTAAAACTGATTTTAAGATTTAAATTAGATTTTGAATCAAAGATTTTCAATGTGATCTCTTCTTTTGATCCAAAAGTCTATGTAGTGATAATCACTGTTCAGTGTAATCAAAGCAATATATTCACTCCATTGCAGCTGGGATTTTACTGCTGTCATCAATCTGAAAAAGACATGTCCTTTCAATCTATTTTTAATCTTCTGTCCACATGCTCAGGGTGTCAATGGGACAAATGAACTAAATGCAGGACAGGCTCATAAATGTGGAGACGTCTTTTACGGGAAACCCTCCCCACATGATCACAGCAAAGCAGCAAGCAGTGAGTACACCATGTTTTCTTCTCTAACTCTAGATATCTCTCCAAATGACTATCAGGCAGATCAGATATAGAGAGCTGTAAGGCCAAGTCACTGGTGAAGCTAGAGTACAGTATGACCATCAGAGGGAAACATGTCAGATTCAATTTACATTCCTTCAATGACTATACAACGCAAGCTCTCATTCGCTTTCTCTTTGAGACACACACTCAAGCTCTGTTAGCATTCATTATATGTAGGGCAATGTTTTAAATTAACTGTCTGAATGAATCACTGAAGTGGGCATTTCTAAACCTCTATATGAGGGATCATACTGTCACATGTAGTTCAGATCTGATTATGTTAGAGTAAAAAAAAAGAAAGTCAGACTCGGCATGTTAAGAGCCTAAATGCCCCTAAACCTCCAAAGATAAATCATAGTTTGAGGTCTGACTAGTACACTGTAGTAAAGACAGTAAAGATATTTATAATAAATACAATTATATAATCATTTATTATAATACAAATTCTTCTATTTCTGTAATATATGCTGTTTTTGTAGTTTCCAGAAAATATTAAACAGCACAACTATTTTTAACATTGATAATAATAAGAAATGTTTCTCAAGCAACAAATCAGCATATTAGAATGATTTCTGAAGGATCATGTGACACTGAAGACTGGAGTAATGATGCTGAAAATTCAGCTTTGATCACAGGAATAAATTACATTCAAAAATGCACTATAACAGAAAATAATTATTGTAAATGGAAATATTTCACAATAATTTTTGATAAAACAAATGCAGCCTTGTTATGCTTAAGAGATTTCTTTCAAAAGTGTTTTAAAAATTCTTACCAACCCCAAACTTTGAAATGGTACTGTAGTTTAACATTTTCCTGTTTTGCTAAGCTAACTGCACAATGCTTAATCAAACAGACAATACATAGTACATGCAAATATTTGGTGAAATAGGACGTTTTTAATAAGACTGGACTATTTTTCAGTATTGAATGAAAAATTCTACTAAAGTGTGTGAAAGCAAGTGTTTCCAGCTACACACACTCCTTTGTTGTTGAAATGTGTTTAAATGCCATCATTCGTACTCTGATTTCTGTCACAGGAAATCAGCAGTTTGAAAAGAACAGTTTGGCACTTGGTCAAAAAGTGATTGATGTAACCCAGTTCCCTGTCTCTCCAGCAGCGGTCTTAAGCCTGGATCAGATAGTGTTATTCAGAACGAACAGCTCACTGATTAACGTCAGGGATAAATCCAAGCTGTTTTGCAAAGCAAACCATAATATACGGACATATAAATGTCTGAATGAGTACATATTGTTTTAAGGCATTTCAACTAAGGAAGACACAGATAACACACAGGGCACTGTAGTTCCGTTAAGATTATCCTGGTAATGAGAGTGCGGATGATTGAAATCAAATTACATACATATACCAAGCAGTTCTACTTATACACTACAGTACTAGTCAAAAGTTTTTGAACAGTAAGATTTTTAATGTTTTTTTTTTAAAGAAGTCTCTTCTGCTCACCAAGCCTGCATTTATTTGATCCAAAGTACAGCAAAAACAGTACAATTTTGAAATATTTTTACTATTTAAAATAACTGTTTTCTATTTGATTATTTTTAAAAATGTAATTTATTCCTGTGATTTCGAAGCTGAATTTTTAGCATCATTATTCCAGTCACGTGATACTTCAGAAATCATTCTAATATTCTGATTTGCAGCTCAAAAAAAAAAAAAACTTTTTATTTCAGATAAATGCTGATCTTTGGATCTTTCTATTCATCAAAGAATCCTGAAAAAAAAATGTTGATAATAATAATAATAAAAAATGTTTCTTGAAGAGCAAATCAGCATATTAGAATGATATCTGAAAGATTATGTGACACCGAAGACTGGAGTAATGATGCTGAAAATTCAGCTTTGATCACAGGAATAAGTTACATTTTAAAATATACTCAAATAGAAAGCAGTTATTTTAAATAGTAAAACTATTTCACAATATTATTGCTTTTGCTGTATTTTGGATCAAATAAATGCAGGCTTGGTGAGCAGAAGAGAGTTCTTTAAAAAACATTAAAAATCTTACCATTCAAAAACTTTTGACTGGTAGCGTAGGTGTTCCTTATATATGAAAAAATAGCACACATTGATTTTGTTGGGTCAAGATATCTGAAAACACCAGAAAAATGCATAAATCTAGCATTTTTCTAATTTTATAAGATTAGAAAGGAATTCTATTTTAAATAAATGAACTTTCTATTACGCAAAGAACCCTAAATATTTAAATATTTAATGTTTTAAAACATAAAAAAAAAAAAAAACATTCCAACATTAATAAAAAAAGTTTCTTTAGACACCAAATCAGCACATTAGAATGATTTCTGAAGGATCATGTGACACCAAAAAACACCCACTTCAAAGTGGAAGTTGTCATGCATCATCTGCTCACCTGTGTCATACTGCAAATGGCATCTGCTGACACGGAAGTAGGCGGGCCTTTCTTTCGATCGCTGCTGCGACTGCGTAGGGCTCCACGGGCCGAGGGCTGCATGGGGCTTGCAGATGCTGAACGAGGACACAGGTGAGACTCTGGTAAAGGACACAGTCAGTGGTGCACAGCCAGGGACAGCAGGGAAGGAACGTCATAAGCAGCCGAGTGGGTGAGCAAAGCAAAGGTATAGTAAGGGACAGAAAGAGGGAGATATAAAGAGGAAGGGAGAAGGGGGGAAAGGGATGATAAAAGCACAAAACATTGGTGTATGTTAGATCATTCATATGGGCTGATGGGGAACTTTTGCTGATAGCACTGATGGCCTCAGGTAGATTGGGTTTGATGGGTGTGAGACAGAGAGAGAGACATGGCAAGGGACAGACAGCATCCTGGGCAGACATTGGTCACCAATATGCTAAAGCACACCATCTTCACCAAGCAAGCACCTTAGGCTGTAGTTTTATTAAGATCAACAATAGCATAAATTAAAGAACATTCACTCACTCATTCTCAGCTTATATCCACATCAGGGACATCAAACAGCATAAAATGTACTTACTTTGAACGTAATTTGTCATAACCACCAATTTTACAGAAATAGTGGTTAAGGAACAGCGTTGGGCAGTAACGCATTACTTAAAAACGCGTTACTGTAATTTGATTACTTTTTTAGTAACGGAGTAATTTAACGCGCTATAATTTTCAAAATAGTCATTACAAGTTACAAGCCGAGGTCTCTATACGTTACTGCCGTGTTACATTGCTGACAGAATGCAGTGTTTTATAATCTAGAGATTGTAAAAAGGATGTAGCACACGCACTGTCGAGTCAAGTGCCAGTGGATTAGAGACCTGCTCCCGCGAGACCCGACGCAACAGAGTGCGGTGCGGGACAAGATGGGTGAGTGCTGGTGCGGGCGGGTAGACACTCGTGTGTGTGCGGGATGCGGGAGAATAAAATTATTCACGGGACTCCCGCAAAAAATATCTAAACAAATTAATTGTTATTCATCTATTGTACAAAAGCAACATGAACTAATATAAAATATAAACGATTAACAGGTGCAAGCGTATGCAGAGTTTCTATTTAGGCTATAACACGTGTTTGCAGCGTTGAGCAATGTAGTGCTGAAACCTGCGTGCTCACGAATCCTCGCATTATAACACACGAATTGTAGACATTATGAAAGATTAATTATGCATATATTTATTGTGTTATAACAGAGATTTGTGAGATTGCGATGAACTGAGATGTCTTTTAGAGATTATAAATGCAGCACTCTTTGCTGGCATTCTGCCGTGTCAAACCATGCACGCATCCGCTTGCTTTAGTTACAAATAACAGTGTTCTGTGAATGTTGATGCTTTAATAACAAATATTTATCGGGAGCGTGTATGCTGGGATTTCATAAATTTCATGGAGAAAAAAGTAACGTAACTAGTAATGTAACTAATTACTAATTACTTTTGAAATAAAGTAATCAGAACAGTAACGTGATTACTTTTAAAAGGAGTAATCAGTAATCAGTCATTTGATTACATTTTCAGAGTAACTTGCCCAACACTGTTAAGGAATGATGTTTTAGTGGAAAATTAATGGTAATTCTCACTTTTTAAGCTGGTTTCAGCATAAACAAAGGCAGGCAAAAAATGCAGAGCACATCCTACAGTTGGTTCCCAAAGTAAACACCCTATTAATTTCTCCATAGAGAAGCAGAGGATCACAATCATTTTTTTCCTTTCTTCTATTTTAAATTGGTTAATTGCTAAATTCACTAATCATAATCAAACCATATAAGCCACTGTTTCCATGAAAAGATAAACTGCAAATCAAACATTGCTAAATTTGTGTCAATGCATGTAGAACTTAATAAATGTTATTCAAGCCACATTAAAGGATTCCAGCATGCCCAATACAACACGCCAACCAAGCACCCTTGCAGAATGCCTTTAATCTACACACAAGTGGAAGGTTCCGGAACGAGCTGGGCCTCCCTTTCCCTCTAGTGTTACCTTGGATGTCGCCTCCTTCGGCGGACAGGGCCGCAGCACTCTTGCTTCTAGCTAGCGAGGCCTGGGTGGGTGTGAGCAGCCGACTGAGGACACTGCTATCCACGGGGGCAGCCAACGAGCGGCGAGCTATAGATATGGTGTGCCCATACAGACACGAAAAACAGAGCAGACAAAAGGGAAAAGAAAAGAGATAGGTTGAGGAATAACACAAAAGAGGAAGGAGAGGGGAATGACACCAATGTGATTTAAAATGCAAGAATCAACACAAAAACCAAGGAGAAAAGTGCTTTAAATGTAAACAGTAGATGTCAATTGAGACTCTCAATGCTGGTAAGACAAAAAGAATATTAGTGAGATAAGAGGAAGGTGATTGGGAGCAGGACCAGGGCTGTGGAAGTGGAGGTGAAAACAAAGGGAAACATAAAAGCCAGGACTAAAGAGTAACTTAAAGAGCTTTTTGAGATCCATCAGACAAAAGTCAAATGCTTGAAGTCAGGCATTTTTAATTTAAGGTATAGATTTAATTTATGTTAGTGTTAAATTAAGAAACGGACTACAGGACAGCATTTGATTCAGTCTGGTCTCTACTGCAGTTTTACAGAATCTAAAAATTTGATGAAACTGAATTAATTTGATACTGCTTGCACACTGCAAAACTGTAGCAGGACATGCTAACAGGGCGCATAAAGCTCTTGCTGTCATGAGATCTATGTTTGTAATCAGAGTTACAAATCAACAGTGGGGAAAAAACTGAAAAATGAAGGAGTAAAAACTTAATGTCCCTTTCTTCTCTTTTCCTCCTTGGCACTGTATTGATGCAGACCAAGTTGTAAAGAGGGGTTGAGGCTGTGAAGCCTTATTGAAGGGAGTTCAATAATAAGGAACTGCTCTAAGCATAGAGAACGGTGGTGTCTATCTGAACAAGTGTGCACTGTGATGGGGAAATTTTCAAGAGTGAATATATAAACCAGGAGTCTAAAGATGTCTTGCAAACATAAGATCTACAAATAAATACAACGTTCCTGTAAAACCATTCAGTATTTTACATATTTAAACCTGAAATGACAATACACGCACTCGCACATCGAAAACAGCCATGGCACCAGGGGCCAAACTCCTTGGTTAATGTCATATGGGAAGAAAAACAGCATAATGTTCACATAAACAAAAACACATTGTATTTACATACACTCATTCCTGGTGAGTAGGTCAGTTAGTGAGAACTCCCTGAGAGAACGAAAAAGCAACAAGGAGAGGTTAAGACGTATTGAAAACTCAAGGCAGCAGCAAACACCAACCAACGTGTGGGCAAAGTAGCATAGACATTAGCGGATTGTTATGTTTCTGGTTGCACGATGATTTGATGCACGAGTGGAAGGACATGGCAAGCAAAGAACATAGGAAGACAGACGCTGCACGTTTATAACCACAAACCAACACTGTGAACCCCATGCTCCTCCCAACATCCCTTATTACCCCAATATCATGTTCTGTTGGATGTGGATTAAACAAGAGCGGGGCGGACCATAGACGTGAACACAGTTTGCGCTTATTTATTAGTAAATGGCGAACAGGCATGGCGAAATGTCCCAGTTGGGATTTAAGCACCCGATTCATCTGCTGTGGATTTCTCTGGTTTGGTGGTGGGCTGTGTT